CTCTCCTATGAAGAAAGGCTGAGAGAGTTGGGGTTGTTCAGCCTAGAGAAGAGAAGGCTTCGGGGAGACCTTCTTGCAGCCTATCAGTACTGAAAGGGGGCTTATAGGAAAGATGGCGGCAAACTTTTTAGCAGGGCCTGTTGCGACAGGACAAGGGGGAATGGCTTTAAACTAAAGGGGGGTGGATTTAGACTAGATAGAAGGAAGAAATTTTTTACGCTGAGAGTGGTGAGACACTGGCACAGGTTGGCCAGAGAGGTGGTGGATGCCCCATGCCTGGAAACATTCCAGGTCAGGTTGGACGGGGCTCTGAGCAACCTGATTTAGTTGAAGATGTCCCTGCCCACGGCAGGGGGGTTGGAGTAGATGACCTTTAGAGGTCCCTTCCAACCCAAACTATTCTATGATTCTATGATAATCCTTGCTTGGGACTTAACTTCCCAGCAACAACATATCAGGAGAAAAGACAGACAGACAAAACAGTGAAGCTGCAAGTCTCAACTTGACCATTTCCTTTGACCAATGTGGTTCCCAGGCAGCCCACGATGGCCTCCCATCCCAAACTCCGGGTACTTTTGACCAGGAGCATCTCCTGGCCCTTCGACATGCTAGGATGAGCAGGAGTCCCACAGGGTCCCTCTGCAGTGCCCCACATGGTCACCCCACCCTGGTAGCCTACTGAACCAAAGCAGTGAGCAGCCCCCAGATAAAACAGGTCAGGCTTTCTGACAAGCTATGTAGGAGATTTGGACACGCAGTCACATTCAAATTGGCAGATGTTGGATATCGATGCCGTCTAGAAGACTTTGCCTATTTTCCATTGAATGTGCGTAACCCCTCACGCCCCTCCTTTCCAACCGTAACTGAGTGGCCCAGCACCCCAGGCTGCACCCCTTAATTGGTTACTGGAGAAAGAAACCAGCTGGCTTGCTGAGGCATTTCTCAATATCCCAAACTCATCCTCATTTCCTTTCATTATGTCTCTACCTGTCACATTATTTGCGGAAAAAGGAGCAAATGCATTAATATAGAGTGCAGTGAGCGCTTCTGCCCGAGCCTCCCACACCTCGCTGCCTCTGCGACCTCACGGAGGTTTCACTAAAAATGTGTAATTAGGTTCTGCAAAGTGACTTCCTGACCATATGCACTCTTTTCAAGTGCAGAAGCCCTAAGTGGTGGTGTGTGTTTTTCAGAGCTGCTTCGAGTACCACTTCATTTTTCTGGCTTTTGTTTACAAAGTTATATTTACTTATCTTTTTACCAGTACCCAACCACGTCAAAGCCAAGTCCTTTTCAAAAAATCTTAAAGCCCATGGATGATGTCACTTACTGGCCTGGATCTTGCTTATTCTGAAAAAGGTGTTATAGAAAATAGCTATAGATAGGCTGTGTTGAAAAGGCTGTGTTTGCACATGAGCTTGTATTTGTTTGTCTGTCCATCCTTGTACTAGTTTGCCAAAATACGTAAAGAAATCCCATCCCGAGCAGGGGTTGATTTAAACATGATCTGAAGTGCTCTGCTAACATAGGATGTACCAAAGCTCATTCTGTGCTGAATCTGTGCCAAAGTGCTTTTCAGATGAATTACAAATTAATGTAATGCCTCTTGTGAGCTTAAAGTATTTTTCTTCTCCTCTGTTCTCTCTCTCTTCAAGTGGGGTCTGCTGGTCCAGTTATGGACTTTTTCTTCTGTTGTCATGGTGGAAATGAGTTGCTGCGGAGAAGCGTTCCTCAAAAGCACCCAGACTCAAAATTGATCTAGCTTCCTTAAGACGCTTACTGCAAACTGGAGTCCCTATAACACAAATACCTCCTCCTCACCCAGGGTGTGCTTCAGCCTGGGCTGTGAGATCTGCCTGGGGCCCAAGGAGCCCCCCCTCTCCAGGACTGCTGGCAGGTGAAACTGAAGTCGCCGGTGACAGTGTGTCCTGCTCTGGCTGTAGCTCTGTAGATCAGGGCTGAGGGCGTCACCTGACAGTGAAAGGAGTCTGGGAACCAGTGAAGACTTTTAGGCATGGAGGTTATACCTGCACAGCTCCTGCCTTTGCAAGGTAGACCTCTACATTGGCAAGCTGCCTTAACCTGATACATCCTTGTGACAAATACATGGATCAGGCAGGCCAGATCCCACTCTAGGGTAAAAAAGCAAGCAAGCATTTTATGATGACCTGTTTTCTTCTATCCCCAGTGTTAGGAGATTGTTTGTCCGCTGACGGTAGTTCCAAAAGGGGCCGCGAGCCCTGGGCAGACAGTGCTTTTCTTGGAGAGCAGCAGTTCTGAAATGAAAAACAGACAGGGAAAATAAAGACGGGCTAAAACATACAAGCAAGGAGAGGTTGATGGGCCAGCGCTGCGGTTTCTTGTTCCTTTTGTGTGGATGGTTCTTGCTTGCACTCCCAGTGCCTCACCTTAGCTCCACTCACACCTCCACACAATCTGAAGGCTTCGAAGCATCATAGTTGCTTCTAATCACAGACTCAAAATACACATTTTTGGTTTTAGTTGATACAAAAAGCCAGGACACTAAGAAATGCATAGAGTTACCTAGAACATTTCATTATACGTTTTTGATTTTCCAAATTCCATTTAGGAGAAGAGCTAAATTGCTAAACCTAAATAATGTACTTACCTACCACCTCACTAGCAGAAATTCACGCACTCAAACTCAAGGGATAGCCAGCAGTGACACCCTGGGTGCTCTGCTTTTCACACAACAAGCGCATCTCTCTCTGGTTAAATCACTATCCGTGCAGATTTCATCACATTTAATTACATAGTGCCCAATCCCAGATCTGAGCTTTCTATTTTCAAGCACTATTTTCTCAGGGATGCCCTAAACAGATCTAACTTAAAAAATGAGCAATTATAAGATTGTTTGGATCCCTGTAAGTGGTGGGATCCAAAGCCAATGTGGATCTTGCAATGTTTACAGGAAGCTTTGCCTCTCTGCATATTTTAGCTCCTAGGAGCTATAGCTATATCCCATGCCATTTGTACCTGTCCCATTTGCCCACTTCTCGGCAGGGTTTGTTAGCTTGGCCGATGGCCGCATCGATATGGCCACCGGAGTTTTTGCTGACTCAGGAGATGGCAGAGCGAGCTTTTTCCTGCCTGTGGACATATTTCCGGATAAAACATGGGCAAGTCTTGCTGTGAGATTGTCAGGTCCGGCTAACTCAATGGGTGTCCTGTATGTTTGAGGTGTCTGCATTGCAATGAGATTTTGCTGAATTTGATATGTTGGTTTTACAGAGGAAAAATCTTGGCACAAGTAGAAGGAAATGTGGGGGGAAGGCAAGACAAGAGTCCTTAAGAGGTGAACTAGTGGGATTTTCTGCTCTGACCCCTAATTCTGTTCTTATACACCTACGTTCCCCGAAAGGTGCCGCAGGGAAGTAGGGAAGCAGCTGTGACGGCAGCAGCAGGCAGGGACTGTACGTATAGCGAGGAGCTGAGGAGAGGGTGGTTAGGCTCGGTGCTCTTTTAAGACATGGCACACCATGTCGCCCATGTAAGAGTCACACTTTTCAGGCACGCTCTTGGAAGTTCTAGGCACAAGCACAAGGAGGTGGTTTGAAATTACTACATATGTCTTCTTGAGATATTTACACTCCGGGGACCACCCACATCACAGGATGTGTTTGAATTGCTCACCAAGCTTTCTTCTGGAGTCGAGATGAAATTACAAATTCTCTTTTCCCAGAACGCAAGAAAAATTAGCAACTTTCTGAATTATTATTATTATTACAGAGGTGTTTTTTAAAAATAGGTCCCATTCTTGAAGACCTTTCAAGCACTGGGAGAAATCTTTGCACCTCTTCAACTCCTTTAACTGCTGGTTACTTAACCCTAGCTTGTAAAAAAAATGCGTGGAGGTAAAAACAAACTCTTCTTTGTGAGCCAGTTTAAGCAAGTTGAGGAAAGGATATGGGAAGGGAGGATGAAATCCCCATTAGAAAAGATGCATTATTTTCTATGTTTATATGACAGTGAAATCCTTGTGGATACTCTTGTGCACTGAGACAACATATTTTAGTTTTAATTGTTTCAGTCAATGTCAATTTTACATCAAACATGCAATAAAGTAAAAATGGCCTTTGGGAAACATCACTGAATCTTATTTTGTGCTGCAGTACTGCCAGTGTAAATATCTACTTCTGTTTTGTAAGCTCAAAGCCAAACGGAACAAAATTTTCCTTTCAGAGAGACTACTGACCTGTCAGCATCAAAAATATTATTTTTAGCATATAAAAATTATTTGTCAGTGATTATAATAACAAGAATCTTTGCAAAATCCATTATTACTCTAGTAAACATTTTCCTTTAGGCAGTAATAGTAGGAAATGAATTAAGAAGTTAGTTGATAGCTACTGGATAAGAAAAAATTATAAAGTTTCACATCTACAGAGTTACCGGGATAAAATACATTTTCTTTCTATTTAAATTATTAAATGTTTACAGTAGCTCAGAGAAACATCAGATCTAAAGCATTTTGGTAAATTATAATTTCTTCTACCGCTTGCTTTCCAGAATGCTAGAAGATGACCTCAAGTTAAGCAGCGATGAAGAAGAGAATGACCAGGTAAGAACCAGACAACTGACATGTCACTTGCAGCATGTTTCATGTCGAGACTGAGCTACTGCAAATATTTTGCTAATGCTTTTTCAAAACATACATAAAGGTTATCAAAATACATGCAGTACTGTAACTGGAGTAACAGATGTTGCTGCTCAGAGCCAGCCCGCGTGTGCTAACTGCTGGATTGGTGGGGAACGGTCTACAGTGCTCTTGATTTATTACCTTGATGCGACCCAGAAGGTTTTTGTATCAGTCTCCTTCTGATTTGATTTTGTTTTGTTTTAAAGAGCGGACAAGGAGGGGAGAAACAGGAATTCTGGATTAAGGGTTCAGGCCAAACCCTGCAGTTGTGAGCTGGCCCCAGGGATTAGCCGCTGGGGCTGCTTACCTCTTACCTGCCTAGAGCCTCTCCACCATCTCCCCAGCCCTCACCTCTCCTCTGAGCATTTTCGGTCCTGTCTCTGCGGGGCCCATGCATGCTAAGAAAGCTAAGGACAGCTGAGAAAAAGCCTTGGCTGTGTGTTTGGTTCACTCCATTACACAGCAATTAGGGCACTTGCCTGGGTTTTAACAACCCCAAACTACCTGACTGGGAGCAGATACGTCAGCCAAAGTTTTCCATGTGTCAGCTCTGGGTTTTGTTGGCAGGGGGAGGTGTCTCCCAATTTTTCCTTAAAACATTGCTGTGTTTTGTCTAAATAATTAAGTACTCACTATAATAGGGCTGGATCTTGACGTTCCCATGGCCAGCCGAGTGGCTCGTTGCCAAGCGGTGCTATGCTACACTCTCTCCTTCTCAGTATACTGGCATGGGAGATTTGGTTGGGGATGAGAGGGCAAGAACCACTTCCCTTCCTTCTTGCACTAAAATGCATGTCCCATGCCTTCACCAGAGCATATGAGGGCAGTACTGCCCCTGATTGCATCTCACAGATGGATCCAGACCTGGATATAACACGGGTTTCAAATGTGATTATTTCAGTGAAAGGTAACTGGAGCTATCTAGACTTCTGAAATTCAGGATCTTAGACAAATAATTCTAGGTATGTAGGCATGAAGCTCTTCCAGGGTTTTCTTTAACTCTTGTTATTAGAAGTCTCTATTTTACAATATATTCCAAATAACAGGTAAACCAAAACCTTTTAATATTTATACTAAACCATTATTTCATCTATTTTGAGCAAAGCTTCTTGGTGTTAAGAAGATTCAGCACATAGATTCAATTATTTACATATTTATACAATTTATTTTTGTTTAATGTATTTCATCCTGAAACACTTCACATTTAATTACTCCTCCTGCTTGTCTAGATAGTTTAAAATACAGCGCATAGACAGCGTAGGGCAAAGGAAAGTGAGGGACAGAAGGGATGTCTGAAGAATAACAATAGCACACCAAGATGCCGTGGTGCCTGCAAGGAGGGGCTGCATGGTAAGGGAGGGGGGAGCCAGTGCTCAGGAGAGATGGCTTGTCTTTTGGGTAGGAAGGGAGATGGGATCCTGCGTAATGGATGTCAGTGTGGAACAGGCTGGCAAAGCCAGAGAGCTGAAATACTGGTTTGCTTCACAGCAAGCAGAAAAGGACACATGAAAGTGTCTATCGTGCAGGAGATAAAAGAACATTAGTAGGTTTAGGCGGAGAAGGAATCGTGGAAAAGTACTGCTGTTTGGGTGTGCACACATGGTACCTTCGGTTTAGCGCTACCGCTTACAACTATTAACATCTTTCATGCGCTTGGATTGCTCAGTATTATGTGTGCTACGCAAGGTCTTTGCTCAGTAACCAGAGCTTTAAGGTACAGCTGGTACAGCCTGGGTCTTTTGCCTCGGTGCTCCAACAAGCTCTGCAAGAGCCAGGACAGAGTCTGCCACCCGCGCGGCGAAGAGCAGAGCTGAGATCCCAGTACTCACTTCTAATCGTCACGGGCCCTAGCATGAGCAACCTTCGGCAATTACTTTGTGACTTGCTCCCCTTTCCTAGTCACATTTTTTTCTAACTTGACTGTACAGATAAAAATCTCCTGGAGGCACAGGCTGGCTCCTGCTATCTGAAATGCTTTGCAGAACCTCAGCTGAGACCTGCAGGTTTGCTTAATGAACAATCCTAAATAAATATGCCTGCGGGATAACAAAACACTAAGTTTCCATCTACCTAGCAGGAAATAGGCCCCAAAAAAGAGTAACACAGACCCTCTCTGCCAATAAATGCCGTGATTACAACATTGATCTGTGTCTAAATGTCAGTGGAAGAACCCATTTTCTTTTACTTCCTAATTCTGAGGCTCTTTAATCTCAGATCTCCTCCTGAGCTCGGGAACAGGAAAGAAAGAAATCAAAGATGAAGGGATAGGAACAGTACATGAGTGATTCCCAGATAGTCCTTACACAATTAATTAACCTTTGAGCACCCAGACTCATTTAAGTAGTCCAATTTCTTAAAGAGCTGAAGGTGAGCTGTACAAGAACTGGGAAGCTTTTCATTTTGCTAATATCTAAACAGGGAAGTTTGGGGGAAAGACTTTGAAAACTCCAGAGGAGATTTTGCGTTTGCATCTGAAATTGCCAAGCAGCAGACGGAAAGTTTCTGAAGCGGTGCAAAGGGGGACAGGTGCTCCTGCACTCCCAGGGCTGGTGTTTGGAGGGCAGTGACTGACCCAGGGAATGTGAGCCACGGATGAGGGAGGCCAAATGCAAGACAGAGACATGATTAAGAGCTTCAGGACCAGCAGTGGGCAAGGCATTCCCGACCCTTCCCTCTGCATCAGCAATTAAGGTAGTGAGATTCACAGACCCAGGAGAGGCAAAAGAGGCTGGGTTTGAGCTGAGTGTCTGTGCGCCCACAGTAATTACATTATCCACACATATTAGTCTCTTAATTTTAATTACATAAATGTATTTTTCCTCTTTAATGAGCATAGTTTATCCATTTAAACTGATCGTTTTAATTTTACAGGCAGTGATCGTAGGATCTAATATGCAGAGGGAAAATTTCCTGTTGGCATATTTTACATCACACAGATTGAAGAAAATATACTTTTTAATCCCCAATCAATATCTGAAGAGCATGCAATTAACAGATACCAAGGTAGTTAACATAAATCTGCAAGTTAAAGAGCCATTTCATTTTGATTTATAACACATAGAGTAATAATTTCATCATCGTCTCTCCCAGAAAGCATCTGAAGCTTTGTAGCATGAAGATGTCAAAACTGTACTTAAGATTGTTCGGAGTACTGAATTGTAGTGGTTATTGCCTTTTGGTTCCTTGAAGTGTGGCATAGCACATGAAACAGTCCCCATTATAATACCCTGCTCTTCTCCGTAGAGGTCACTGGATAGCTTAAATCAGTCTTGGGTGAAATATTAAAAGGAGATTGTCAATTGTAATATGAACAATTATCTTTTTTCCCCCCTACTTGTCCTTTTACAATATGAAAATTTTGTAATAGAAAGTAGTTCCTTTAAGGGGAAAAAGATCCCTGGCATCATTTGTGCAATTCATGTCAATCAATAGCCAAATAAATTAACTGACTGGTATGCATACATGGAATAATAATCTAACATATTTTTGCTACCCAAGTCTGCTTCCTTGTATGCATTTTTTCTGCACGGGATCAGGTTGGTTGCTGCTGAAGTTTTGTGGCTGTGAAAATTTATTACCCACAGAGTCAATCTGCATTCTGGCTGCCAAGTCTGAATAAATAGAGTCATTGTGCTTGTCTGGAATATGTAACCAAAGTTCATCCAGTCAGCTTGACTTTCACATCCCATGGGATTCATAAAAGCCAACACCCTGGTATGTGCTCTTGATTCCTGCCAAAATTTTGTAAAATTGTATAAACAGAAGTTGAAGAAGCAATCAGAACACACTCCCAGGGACATGGCTCCGCACTCCAGCCCCTGCTGTATCTCGAAAGGAAAGACCCAACTTTAGTACTTTTCTTTTTTTTTTAAATAATCGTATGACTATCCCCCTGCGGCAGCAGGTAAATGTGGGGGTTGAAGACACCCTCCGCGCACAGTGCACAGGGAGGCAGCAAACAATCCTCCTGGGTTCATTAATTTTGCTCATGTGCTCTGCACCAAAGGAAGAGGGAAGGCAGCGTTTGCCTGCAAGCGGCTGCCCTCCTTGAGGAGGGACGGGGACAGGCTGGTCCTGCAGGGTCTGAGCAGTGTGAGCAAAACCGGCCCCTCCGCAGGCAAGCCAAGACAAACAGAAAGCCATGTCCCTTCACAGGAGACCTCGGGGGAAGAGCAGCCTTGAGAAAGTTCACCAGGAACAGCTTCAGCGCCGTAAAATAAAAGTCTCAGCAGCCTGATCTGGCTCGCCACCCAGAGCCCCATAGGGTGATGGCAGCCCACCCAGCCCGGCGCCCTCATGGGGGTCCCGGAGCTGCCCCCCACCCACGGCAGCCTGGGGACAGCCAGGGTGGGCTGCTGGCCCTGGGGGACCTGTCCATGCTCCGGCATCACCCTGGCCATGGCTAAGCTGGAAAACTTGATGTTAATTCGAGTTACACCTGCAGCTCCAGTGAGGACATACGTGCCTACAGTTCCTCCCTGTCACGTATGCTCTGAGGGATGCCAGGGCTCAGCACTGGAAATGCATCTTTCTGGCAGGACTGTCTGCAGCGTAGGTGTTTAGGACAAGCCAAATCCGTCCTGTCGTTGAAACAGGACAAAAGTCCATCTACGTGGTCAATGGCAATCGGTGTGGCCATGCCCCTGTGTAAGTAGCATTAGGAAATGATTTATTTTTCTAAGTCGTAAAGTCATGTTTCATTTCTTTAATGGTAGCCAGAAACAAATGAGAAAGAATGACAACAAAGACAATCTTTTTAATAATGTGTAGGACTTTTCCCTCTCGCCTCTGGATAGGGACTGACAATCAACAAAGAGAAAAAAAAAAATCCTGAAATTAACGTTCATATGTCCACCTTCTTCCAGAAGGAATAATTTTTAGTAGGGTCTTTATAAGCACTACTTCTGCATATGAAATGTAAT